CCGAGGATAGACACCATTACGGCCGCCGTCGCCATGGACGAGGAGAGGCCACATGCAGAGCCGGCCGAGGAGGTCGAGGAAATCCCTCTGGATACCTCCCGGCCGGAGCGGGTTCTCAGGGTCGGAAAGAAACTCCCCCAGGACCAACGAGACGCCATCCTCCTCGTCCTACGGTCATACGCCGTTGTCTTCGCGTGGGGCCCGGACGATATGCCAGGCATCAGCCGCCAGGTGATCACTCACCGGCTGACCGTCGATCCGGCCTCCGCGCCTGTCAAACAGAAGCGGCGCTACTTGTCCGCCGACAGGCGGGACTTCGTCAAAGGGGAGGTCGCCATGCTCCTCTCAATCGGACACATCAAAGAGGTGAAGTACCCGACATGGTTGGCCAACGTTGTCCTCGCACAAAAACCGTCGACGTTCAGAATGTGTGTTGACTACACTGACCTGAACAAGGCGTGCCCCATGGACCCGTTCCCTCTCCCCAACATTGATCAGCTGGTGGACGAGACGCCGGGGTGCGAGTTGATGTCGTTCCTCGACGCTTTCATAGGGTACCACCAAATCTCCATGCATGAAGATGACGCTGAGAAGACGACATTCATGACCCCAGAGGGAATCTTTTGCTACCTCGTCATGGCCTTCGGACTCAAAAACTCCGGCGCCACCTATACTAGGATGGTGGCCAAGATCTTCAGAGTGGTCCTTGGCCGGACGATGGAGGCGTACGTCGACGACATGATCGTCAAGAGCAAGCAGGCCACCTCCCACGCCGACGACCTCCGGGAAATCTTTGAAATAATGAAGGAGTTCAGGCTCCGCCTTAACCCCAAGAAGTGCGCCTTCGGCGTTCAGGGCGGCAAGTTCCTCGGCTACATGGTCAGTCGGAGAGGCATCGAGATAAACCTAGAGAAGACGCAGGCCATCATCAACATGGAGCCGCCCCGCAACGTCAAGGAGGTACAGCGACTGACGGGGCGCCTGGCGGCCTTAAACCGGTTCCTCTCCAGGTCCGCCGAGAGGGCACTCCCCTTCTTTCAGATCATGAGGAAAGCCAACAGCTTCAAGTGGACGACGGAGTGCCAGGAAGCATTCGACGAATTGAAAAGGTACTTGTCGTCCCCACCCGTGCTCTCCAAGCCCAGAGCCGGCGAAACCCTCTTCTTGTACTTAGGGGTGAGCACGTCGGCCATCAGCTCCGTGCTCATCCGTGAGGACGAAGGGGTGCAGAAGGCCATTTTCTACATCAGCAAGACGCTCAGGGAGGCCGAGCTCAGGTACTCCCCCATTGAGAAGACGGTGCTGGCCATCGTCCACACAGTGAAGAAGCTGGGGCACTATTTCCAAGCCCACACCGTGCATGTGCTGACCCAACAGCCTCTTGGCGCGCTCATGAGGAGCCCCACTAGCTCCTCGAGGATGGTGAAATGGGCGATCTTCCTCAGCCAGTTTCAGATTGAGATCAAGCCAAGGCCATCTATCAAAGGGCAAGCCTTGGCCGACTTCGTCATTGAATGCACAGCAAGGGAGACGGCCGTCGCCAACTCCGGGCCGGAGCCGGACGATACGTGGACCCTGTTCACTGACGGCTCGTCGGCCGCGAAATCATGCGGCGGCGGCGGCGTCCTCATATCCCCTGAAGGATTCAGAGCTTACTATGCCATCCGCTTCAACTTCAGGGTATCCAACAACGAAGCTGAGTATGAGGCCCTCCTCAGCGGTCTCAGACTCGCCGCCGGCCTCAAGGCCAAGCACCTCAGAATCAGGTGCGACTCCAAACTGGTAGTGGGCCAGGTGGAGGGATCGTACGAAGCAAAGGAAGGCCGGATGAAACAGTACAAGCAAGCGGCGGAGGAATTGCTGAAAGCGTTTGACACCCACGAGATCACTCAGATCCCAAGGGCCGAGAACGCCGAAGCCGACATCCTCTCCAAGCTCAGCTCGGACACCCCGGAGCACATCTCCCAGTTGGCCAAGATCGAGGAGTTGAGCATGTCCAGCATCCATGCCAGCCCCGTCTTGTGCGTCCAACAGCGACCAGAGGACTGGATCTCCGACATCGCCACCTTCATCACTACGGGGGAGCTGCCCCCGGACGAGGAGAGGGCCAAACTTGCCAAACTCAGGGCCCCAAGCTACACCATCGAAGATGGCAAACTCTACAAACGGTCCTATAACGGCACTCTCCTCCGGTGCCTGCACCAGGACGAGGCCGACACAGCCATGGAAGAAGTTCATTGTGGCGTCTGTTCCTCACACCAGGGCCCTTTCAGCATGTCCCGGCGTCTCGTCGTCCAGGGCTTCTTCTGGCCGACGATGGCACGCAACTGCGCTGACCTGGCCAGGAAGTGCACCACATGCCAGGTACTCCAGAAGGCCCCTGGCCGGCCAACTGTCAACTATGCCCCTGTCAGCACCGCAATTCCATTCTCCAGGTGGGGAATTGACCTGGTCGGCCCCCTGCCCAGAGCCGCCGGGAATAACCGCTACATCATCGTCGCCGTCGACTACTTCACCAAGTGGGTCGAGGCGGAACCCTTGGCCAGCATCACGGGAGCCAGATGCCAAAAATTCGTTTACAAGAACATCATCACACGCTTCGGTGTCCCCCAGGAGATTATATCAGACAACGGCACCCAATTCGAGGCAGCCCCTTTTCAAGAACTCCTCCGGGAGTTTGGGGTAAAGCATCGTTTCTCCTCCGTTGCCTACCCTCAGGGCAATGGGCAGGTCGAGAACGCCAACAGAACAATCATGGAGGGGCTGAAGAAGAAACTCCAGGCCGCAGGAGGTAGTTGGGTCGACGAGCTCCCCAACATCCTGTGGTGCTACAGAACCACGCCGAGGAGGGCGACAGGTGAAACGCCTTTCGCCCTGTGCTACGGCTTTGAAGCAAAGGCGCCTACGGAAGTTGCCATCCCCAGCCGACGGGTGGAACAATATGAGCCTGACACCAACGAAGAGAACATGAAGATTGACCTACACCTGGTTGATGAGAGGCGTGAACAAGCTTACGTCCGAGCAGAGAACTACCGGCGTCAAGTAAAATCATACTATGACGCCAAGGTACGTTCCCGGGAATTTCAGGTGGGGGACTACGTCTTCCGCCGGAGGGAAGCAAGCCAGCCGACAGAGGGTGGCAAGCTAGCATTGAAGTACGAAGGGCCCTACATCGTCAGTGCCGTGGTCAAACCCGGCACCTACATGCTTAAACGCCCGAATGGGTCCAACGTACCACGAACATGGAATGTACACCATCTGGTGAAGTTTTATCAGTAATCCGAAGGAGGTGTAGACGGCGAAGCCCTCACCCCTTAACGGGTTACTGATTGAACGCCACCCTCGGCCTCGAGCCACTTATGAATAAAATCATGTTCTGATTTTCTCTGGAAATTCAAAGTAAAACATTAGCAGGTGCCCCCGTCGGCCACCTTAGAGCGAAAGGCTCAGGCATGGCCGACGAGGCCCCCTTGCATTTGCAGCCTACGAGCGGCAAGCTCAGGCGCTCCATTGTATTTTGTATCAGCGAAGGGCTCAGGCCTAGCTGAGAGAGCACATCGTCCTGGCCCTGTAAGCCTAGAAGTGAAACGCTCGGGTATGGCCGATGATGTCCCCAGGACGAGGGGCCCGCAAACGGCCCACGTCTTGAAACGGGAAGCTCACCGCGTCGTCCACACGCCAGAACGCAGGACGACAGGCCTGAAATCATGGCCGAGGTGACAAAATCCCAAAACTCAGGGATGGGCAACGACAGCCGTTGGAAACCAACCAAAAGTCTAGCCTGCGTCATAAATAGGCGACGGGACCCGCCCTGAGACCACGGACGTTATAAACGAAGTCCGAACCGGCCGAAGGACGAGCACACCCTTCGGCCGAAGCCTGAAAGAAGGATATCCCCCGAAACGAAAAAAAAACATACAAGGGGAAAAGAGGGAAGCCGACGGCCGCGCACACTTGCCGGCCTCGAGCAATGAAAAAATAAAATCCCCACAACTCAGGCCCAACTAGGCCAAGTACATATCAATTGAACACAAGTGTAGTACCACTGACAGGCAACATGGACGACACGTCCACACACTACAAGGGAATAATCAAGGCCGATACACACGCCTATAAAACCCTAACCACATCGGTTGGGTGACACGCGAGAGGTGACCTTCATCGGCCATAGTCCTTTGAGGCACCAACGCTTGGTATGAAACAAAGCATCGCAATCCTGAGGATGACCAGGACGAAGCGGGCACTCATCACACTCGCGAAAGGATCAAGCAATCAAGAAACAACCTCTACTCGCCACAGCATCTCGGATGGCCGACGCAGGCATTGGAACCAAGGCCGTTGGTGAAGCGAAAATTCTCTAAGTACTCAAGTGGAAGAACTCTAGACGAAGCGGGTACATATATATTCCAAGGCCGTTAGCTACCTACGCTTTGCATATGTACTTGGAAAAATCCAAAGTCCAAAAGACTAAGGTGAAGGTGCCCTTATCGGCCACAACACAGGAATGCAGGCCGACAACGACACTGGTTCAACACTTGGCAAATCACCCAAACCATTTGCCAATAATGGGGAGAGACTAAACCCCATGGACGTAGCGGACACCACGATCAAGGGCAAAAGGACGTAGCCAAGGACCACCGGTCAAGCCGACAAGGCCACCAGACCGAAAGGAAAGCACCTAAGTGAAAAAATTCCTAAGTGTTATGAAACTACGTCCAGGCCGATCAAGTCACTAGGCCGTAAAGACAGCAGCTACATGGACCCAAAAACACTTGGGAAATTTTTGAAAAAAAATCCTAAGTGTTATGATAGTAAAGCAAAGATGAATAGGCCGACCAGACTACTGGACAGGAAGGCCGACCTCACGGATGTAGCGGACACTCGCGGGGTGACCCAAGTTGTGACCTTGACACTTAGACAAATTTTAGAATTGAAATGTCAAATGGCAAACAAGCATACAAGGGATTCAAAGCCGAAAAGGACAGCAAAAATTTCTTCAATTGATAGTGAGTTCATTACAATTGGGGGCACTTCGGCCGTTACATCATTTGGCAAAAAATGAAAAGCTAATTACAACAGGGAATAGCCGATCAAGCCTCCGGGGCACCTTCATCCGCGGCTGGCTCTTCAACCTCGTCGGCTCCCTCCTCGGCGGCCTCTTCGGCCTCGTCAATTCCCTCCTCGGCGGCGGCCGCAGCGCTAGTGGCATCGTCCAGGAAGTCGAATTCAGTGTAGTCCGGCTCACCGAGGCCGGAGCTTTCTATGGGGGACTCTCGCTCCGACAGCGGAAGCTTGGCCTGCTCTTCTGGATCCTTCATCAGCTTTGGCTGCTTCAGGTTCCGTCTAGCCCACCCAGACGTGTAATTCATGGCCTTCAACGCCCGGGATAGCCGCCGACACAGGAGCCTTTGCATCCGCTCCTGGCCCAGGTTGTAATAAACGGACATCTCCCAGCTGAAATACTCCCGGCCGGCGGGGGAGTTCATCCCCCAACTCTCAAGCCTGGCGGCCACCACTTCGTAGCACCAGGGAAGCCTCTCATCGGCCTTCCACCCCTCGGCCAGGAACTTCTCAACGGCCTCATCAGCAGCCCTCACGACGGCGGCCTCGGCCTCAACTTTCGCCTTGACGGCCTCCTCGCTCTTGCGCCTCTCGGCCTCCAGCGCCCTTTGGGACTCCTCGAGCTCCCTTTTGCTCTCCTCGAGCTTGGCAAGGGCATCGTCCCTGGCCGCGGCGGCTTCATTTGCCTTTGCCTGCAACGCCTTGGCATCCTCCCGGAGCCGATCAAGGCAAGCTACCGCCTCGTCGGCCGAGGCAGCCTTCTGCTCCAGCCCTTTCAAGCGAGCTATCTCCCAATACTGCCTCTTATGGCTTTCCATAAGCATAAAGGCACTCTGCAGAAGGAAAACAGAGGTCAGGCAAAAGACTCTACACAGACGAAGAGAAAGACAAAAGCATAGGGACAGTAACTCACTTGGACGAAGAGGTCCATGCCGCCCTCGTAAATCTTCTCGTCCCCGAGCTTCTTCAAGTAAGCCCGATCTTTGGCCGGCATGGCCTGGGCCAGGACGACGTGGCCAGGGACAAGATCATTAAACACGCCCCCGCCGACGGGGTATTCGACCACCTTCTGGTAGGTGGCACCGGCAATCTCCTTGCCGGCCCTCTTCGTCCGTGGTTCCTGGACGAGAGGAAGCGCTGGGGCAGCATCGTCAGCAACAGTAAGGTCCACGACGGGACCACCATCGTCCACGATGGGGACAGTCAAAGTACCGGCCTCAGTAGCCGGAGAAGGGGAAGGAGCCCTCTTCGTCTTCTTCGAGACGCTCACGCCGGCCTCAGTTAACTTTTTTTGGCCGTCAGTGGCCGGCCTTTTCTTCTTCGATGGAGCAGGCTTTGGGGCCGCATCAGCAGTAGCCCCGCTCCCACCGGCCGCGACACGTCTGGCCGCCTCGGCCGCCTTAGCAGCAATCTCCTCGGCCGCTTTGGCCTTGGCAATAGCCATCATGGAACGACGGTCCATGAGAAAATCTACAAAGGAAAAACACAAACAGATTAGTAAGGCAAAGGACAAAACATAAAGACAGAAAGCCGAAGAAAGAATTACCATCGGCCTCAGCAGGAATGCCCAAGTCCGGGCCGTCGGCCTCCTCAAAGGTGGTGGTCATCCTCGACCAGAGTTGGAGGTCATCCTCCTTGTCACCATAGACATAGTACCTCACGAAGCCGAGGGCGGCCATCTTGTATTCAGTAATGTAATCCTTCACGCTCCTCGGCCCCCCTTCCAAGAAAGCCTCCACCTGAGCGTCCAAAATAGAGCTCTTCGGCGGGTCATGCAGGTTAAACCTCCCGATGTGGCCGAGGGAGGGAAACTCAGTGCCACTCTCACCAATGGACACAAACACGAACTTGCTCTTCCACCCATGAATGGACGTAGGCAAATCCGTGAAACTCCTCTTCTTCGGCAGCTGTTGAAGAGTAGCATAGGCTGCGCAGTTCTTGTGGCTTCCTCGGCCGATCTGGTACAAATTCATGAATAAGGCCGTTGTCGGCCTGTAGCCCAACTCCTCACACCGGAGCAAAAACCCCACCATCAGGGAGTAGCTGTTCAGCGTCAGCAGGGCCGGAGGAAGCCCTACCATGTCCAGGTACTCGGTAATGAAAGGGTTAAGGGGGAACCTCAACCCCTTAGCAAAACTCATCGGGTATACTCCAAAGTATCCCGGTGGCGGAAGAAGAACATGGTCCGTCGGCCTGGGTGCCCTAACCCGCCCGAACGGCCCCACGTACATCTGGGCAACGAGATAGTCGGCTGCACTGCTTTCCGGCTTGATCAGGAAGATGTTGGTGAGATCCAACTGGGAAGTGCCCGGCCCACTCTTCGGCCTCCTCACTCTCTTCGGCTTAGCTGCTCCCTTCACAGCAGACACCGACCTCGAGCACGGAATGACAGCAGAAGTGGACGCCCCGTCCACCACTCGGGACGCACCTACGTCCTCACCCTTTGAAGAGGAGGCGGACTCCTCGTCCTCGCCTTCCTCGTCCAATGGCTCTCCGGATTTGTATGGACTTAAACGCTCTATCTCCTCCTCAAACTCCTCGAGCACCTCGTAGTCAAGCGACCTCGTGGAGGGCTGGTCGTCGTAGGGGTAGTAGTCGTCGTTCAAGCTCTTCATAACTACTACTACGGGCCTAAGGAGATTTAACTTAAGATCTAAGGGTGTTCAAACACCTAACACTAGATCACTAATCTAGGAAGCAAAATATGAAAAGTGAGGAAGATCGTGATGAACACTAACCTTGAACAACGACGAACACGAAGAACAAGCTTGGGAGTTTATCTCTCTAGAAAAATGGGCAGCACTTCGAAAATTCAGAATGCAAATGTGATTCCTCGTCGGAGGGGAAGGGGTATTTATAGACCCCCCACCCAACGGTCACTACACGTGGCACTCTCCCAGTGGCCACATCAACGGCCACCAACGGGAGGCCACCACGTCACCAATGGGCCAGGCCCAACCCACATCAACAGCCCACTGGCAAACCAGACTCCAACGGCCCACACACTTGCCGGCTTTACAAGTACCAGCAAGCGCCCACAACGTCCCACTTGCCCGCCAAGATCACAACTGCCAAACAATAAGGAGACGGCAACGGCCGGGAACGTAACGGCCACAAGATCAAAGAACCCAAGAGCCCACAAGCCATCGGCTCCTCGTCATGACCCTTGATGATAACTCTCTACAAGCGATCTGCGCACAAGGGTTCTCCCACAGGGTTACCTTGGCCAGAAAATCGCCATGAGAGTTGGATTCAGGGGGATTACGGAGAGGCCGCTTCGTCCAGTGACTCAAGCAACTCCTTCACCCCTCACACTCCTCGGCCTGAAGCAGTGGGGGACTGGGGGACTACACCGGCCTCAGCAAAACAAAGCAGGGCCACATCATCAGAGAACATGAATGTGACCACAAAGCATGGCCACATCATCCATACAGCACAACGGAACTTTATCGGCCAACAAGCCACTAGAGGCAAGGACACTCATCGTCCTCCACCAACAATTAGTCTTGACGGGCCCTTCAGCCAAGAACACGAAGGCCAACCAGCAACGGCCAAAAGGAGTGCGCAAACACCCTCATCGGCCACCCAAAGGAAAGGACGCCATCGTCCTCAAAGCAAGGAATAACTTCAGTGGCCTCATCGGCCCAAACACAAACTTCAAACATTAGCGCCCAAGCAAAACGTGCCCTCAACGGCCACCATTGAAAGAAGGACACTCATCGTCCCAAAACAAACACATTAAGGAAACAACGGCCTCCCCGCCCACAGCGAGGAACAGGTAACGGCCAAAGCACAGAACAGGATCACCAAAGAGGAAACAACGCCAAACGCCGCAACGGCTAACGGCCCGGGGATGGGGGACTCAAAGCACAGGAATCTACTCTCCTTCGCTTCGTCTACGTCCCAGCTTAGAGAGTGGGGGACTCCTGATGGAGTATATGGGTCTGAGCCCCAGGACCCACATACTCGGAAGAACAGAAAGCACAAGCCAAGACGCCCCCGTCGGCCGAAAAGGGGCCAACTCGGATTATGGTCCTGAGTCCAAGGAACCCGGGTGCCCTCGTCAGCCGTGCCCTCGTCGGCCGTGCCCTCGTCGGCCACGCCCTCGTCGGCCAAGAAGACCTCCCAGAATCGGATTTTACACTTACTCATTTGTACAGCCCATTAGTGGCTTTGTATTCGGCCCAGTAGCGGTCCAGTTGTAAATGGGCCTCCCAAGCCCAAGGCTTGGGAGCCCAACCCTAATTTTCTCTATAAATACTCCCTTTGGGAGTAGTTATAGGGGTTACGAATTCATTCTATTGAAGCATATTATTGCACTTCTCTCTCTAGCTCTCACTTCTCTCTAGATATACTCTATCACTAACATAGTATTATATATTTACTGTTGAATCCTTAAGACACATTCTTCTTTTTTGCGTGATAAGGTACTCAGGTCTAACACATCATTTATAATCTCGGGAAAAATCATTCATTTGGTATGTTACACTTGTGCTATTTGTTGTCAAGGTGTCACTCCACATGAAAATCTTTTCTAAAACATAAAAGGAAGTCTTCATTTCTTTTAATAATCCATTGTAATTTGACTCCCCTATTATATTAAAAGAATTTCTTTTTAAAATTTAAAATAGATGAACTATAAAACAAAAATCTTCTTGTGGATAAGTCTTTTGTGAATAAGTTAGATTATAAGTTTAGTAACCAAATCTTCTCGGAGGTCATCTAGAAAATCAGTATATGGGTTAACATTAACATGTCAACATTAAAAGAAATTGTTTGCTTAGTTTCAAATTTTTCATATTTCATAAACACAAGACATCATAAATGATCTGTTTAACAAAATTTGATATTGTCATACCCATAATAGTCTGACACAAAAAAAATACCTGATAGCAGACAGTCAAGACAAGAAGGTGAACTATCACTAGGTTTGTGACTTTATATAAATTTCAATTCTTTCACCCTTTTCTACAATGATTTGGAGACTATCTCTTTGCTTCCTCAATTAGTTGTAGAATCATTAAAAAGCAAAATGATATAGATATTTTTATTTATTAAATCCTTCAACCCTTCACTAATCAAAATGTATTATATTGAAATCTGTAGTCGATAAGAGACAAAACTAATAGTTTAATCGTAAACTCCCTTTAGGCCGTTCATTATCAATAATTATTTCTTGGTTGATATTCCACAGTATTGTTCTTTCTAACTTTAATCTTCTAACTATATCACTTAGGAAGTATTGTATGTTCGTGGTGGTAAAGTTTATGTAACCTTCCACAAATAAGGAAATCAATCGGTAACACGTAATTCCATAGAACCTGACAAA